ACTGAATGCCTTCAAGCCAACTGAGCGGTACTAAGCACCAAACCCTGAATCATAAGCCCCGAAGTTGAATCTGATTCGTTGCTCCTCTGCCTCATAGATTTCAGGTTTATATGGGCTTCAAAGAGAAGGTGAAAGTTGATCCCAAAGCAAGAAGACTCAGGAAGATCAGAATGGCTCAGTGATGGTTTCTACAATTCTCTACAGGTTGAGGGTCCGATCCTAACAGACTCTATAAGCTTGTTGTAAAAGGTCCGAAACCCCAAACCGTGAACCCTGATTACAGCCTCCGGCTTGCAAGAATCATGGGCCTAGACTGCAATCATAAGTCACTGCTAGAAGCGCAAAAAGGAATCAGCTTTAACAATATAAACTTGACAAAACTGAATGAACCTGAAAACCGTACACGAAGCCGATTAGACCACATCAGTATGACCCTAAATCCTGAGCCCCTGAAAAACCGTACAAAACACTGGTAAACCCTAAACCCTAAACCAGGAGGGAGGAACTGGACCGGCAAAAGCACCCGGTGGTCGCTGGACGCTCCCGCGGCCTGCAAAGCGGAGCGATTTCGGGGCTTCCGCTTCGAAAAGAAATCGTAGGGCTAGTACAGGGTTTGCTAAGGTTGTATAGGACCTTTGTTGGTTTTAAATGGATTTTGGAGGGCATCTTGTACGGGTTGTGTAGCGTTGTTGAAAGGTTTTGACAGGGTGTTGATAAGGATTCGGGGTTTATACGGGGTTTGGATTTTGCGGTTTGTGTGCTGTCGGTGTATCATGAGCTTGTGCTTTTTGGGCTAGGGGTTTGCAGTTGGGCGGTTTAGATGTTGGTTTCTTGGCTTTTCGTAGATAGATGGGTGGGTAGATAGAGAGACAGGTAGATCGGTGGACAGGTAGAGAGATAATACAGACAGACGTGAGTGTGTGTGTACACACACACATATGTATATATATATATATAGATATGTATATTACAAACCAAACCTATAGTTGCAATAACAAAAAACATAATGTAGCGTAATATCACATAATATTATAGAGTACGATATGACGTATTATGATATAAGGTCTTTGTTTTACAGCATAATGTAAAATAGTATAAGGCAATATGACAAAGTGTCATATCACAACCGAACCAACCTATAGTTATGATATATATATATATATAATATGTATGTACATATAATGTACATATATATTTGTATATATACATACATATATATATATATATAGACTAAAATAAATGCAAAAATATGTGTATATCTATATACATATATATATATATATATATAATATAATATAGTATAATATAATATGAACATATATACATATATATATATATATATATATATATATATAGACATACATATACATATATATATATATATATATATATATATATATAGATATACATATGTTGAAAGGACACATACATGCGTATAGATAAACAAGTAAATAAGTATGTGTATATATATATATATATATATATATACATATACATACACACACACATACATATACATATATGTAAAGACAAGGTGTTGTTCTTGCTTTCTGTGCTGTAGCCTCACCGTGTATAGCATGCACGCGTCAGCAGAAGAGAAGCACTTCTCCTCATAATCCTTGTATTCGTACAAAAGGCTGTTAGACTGGACATTAGAATCCAATTCGGTTTATCGAGGCCTCTACCACAAACCCGGATAAGACCCCTGCCCAGTTGCCTTTGGATGCTCGAGATCGGCTATTGATTAAATCCTGCATTACCTTCATGACCCTAGACTATGTATGGGAGTTATGGTATATTTCTTACTAAGGTTAATTAGTGCCGGATTTAGATCATCAACCAAAGGAGCTTCTGTGGCTCTGTGGGGTTGGGAAAGCTCTGTGTCAGAGCCTTGTCGGTCGTGGAGTTAGGGTTTGCAGTTGAGTCTTTAGGATATCAGGGCCTAGGGTTTAGAGTAAGGGTTTTGGTCTTGAGCTTAGGCTTTTGATTTTGGGGTCTGGAGTTCGGATTTTGAGTTTAGGGTTTAGGAGTTTGAGGGTTTTGGCTGTTGAGTTACGTTGCGGATGTTGCCGGATTCCTGCATGGTATGGCGTCATGAACTGCATGGCACATGGCATTGTGGCTAAGGCAAGGCTTTAATGCAGGGGAACACAATGCTTTCGCTTTTCAGGCTGTCAGGTGATGACTGTTTAGAGTCCCGGGTTGATAGTCAAGCTTTAGAGCAAGGGGTCCTGGTCCCTCAACGCCAAGCCCTCCAAGCTGCAACGCTCAACCATGAGTCTTCAACCAGGGGCCGGCAAAGCTGCAAATGTCGACACTTGAACAAACCAATATAGGGGCCTAAATAATTACCTATGCTATTTTGGGGGCTCCTTATTATATGTATACTATCATGAACCTCAAAACCCTATTCTAATTATTAAGGCCCCTACATTACGTCCCAACAGCCTGAAATCCCCCCGGAAGGAGCCTCGGCAGACGAATGGTACAAGCAGCTGCGATGGCCGGCGCCCCAACATGGAATCCCAAAGAAGGATTCGAACGCGAGCGGCGGGGAGTACGCGATTCTCAATTATATCGCCTTTCTGCCCCTGTGAAATTTGTTGTACTATGTATGGACAAAAAAAGCTCTTGACCTCAACTTTCAACCCCTAAAATCGTCGTGCTCCAGTAGAGCTCATGGAGTCTTCGCGATGGGGATACTCCGGGAGCACCTGAGGAGTGCTTGCCACTAAACCCAAACCGTGAGCCAGTCCACCCGAATCATGCGGATCCCCGAGATGTTTCGTCTGTGAAAGGATCCGAGACTCGGTTGAGGTCGGGGTTTACCGGCTAGGACTCAAATCCTACAAGCCTGACTTTTCTCGGATGGGATTGAAGTCGGACTCTCTGTTGTTAGATTGTTAGATCCCCATATTTCTGGCAGCGACTGAGGATACTAATGCAAGCTATCCATCGTTTTTCGAGGCCGATGAACGAAAACACCTGTGAGAAAGCCGAGACACTGCAACAAACCATAAACCCTAAACCCCGTATTCACCGAAGCGGTAGCTACAGTACCTCAAAAAAGGTAAAGGTAAACCTGAAACACTATATGTGCCCCAAAACCCCACCTCAACTTGACGCATCGCGCAGGTCCAAGGCTTCGAATCTTCGCTTTTTCGGGTTGCTTCAGGTTTCTTTTGAAAAGGTGCAGCCGCTGTCTCCCTGCAAGTCATGTCCTTGCCTGAAGCCCTAAGAAACCCAAGTACCTGCAAATCCCTTAACCCTAAACTTTTGCGTCCTGTGGAGTTTAAGGGGAGCATACAAACCACGGAACTTCAAAGTTCTTGGGTGTGAGCCCTAAACCCTGGCACCGTACAGACTGTCGAGTTCAGATTTATGTGTGTGTAGGTGTATATACATGTATATATGTATAGACAGATGAATGCATATCTAGATATACATGCCTAGCTCAGGCATATAGAGCATGCATCTCAGCGTGTATAAGAACGGTCGTGAAAGTACATACTCCTACATATGTATGTGTATATACGATATATGTGTATATATATATACATAACATCTATATATAAATACATACAAACAGATTGATGGAGAGCATTACACATACACATGTGTATTACAATTATATATGCACACAAGTATACACACATCCGGGACTCCATAGAAAACCCTCACGTAAGCTTGCAGGGGCCCCGGGGCCGGTGAGACTTGTACTAGCTCCGGCTGCATCCACATAGATCCAAACGAGGGGCTTAGGATTTAGGAGTTAGGGTTTAGGATTTAGGGTTTAGGATTTAGGGTTTAGGATTTACTACGGTTTAGGGTTAAGGTTTAGGGGGTTTAGAGTACCCTAAACCCTAAGCCTGATCAGTTTTAGGGTTTTGGGGCTTAGTGTTAGGACTGTTTGAATTGGGGCTAATGCCGCAGCAAGAAACCGAAAGACTACCCCTAAACCAATAGACCGAAACAGTGAACACTAAACCCAAAACTCCAAACCCAAACCCTTTTGGCATTGTGAAAAAAGCACGAATCCCAAAGCCCAAAGAACGAGGTAATGCAGCCGGAGAGATCAAACACTGAGCGTCGCATGGCATCACCAAGGTTTCGGCTAGCACACAAGGCTCGAGACACATAAGCCTTACACCCTGAAGCTCTAAACCCTAAACGCCCATAAAACCCCGAGAGGGTGGCTCGACCTGCCTTCTCCCTTTGCCTGAAGAACAAGAGCTGTTCGTCTTCGCATGAAGCTGGGTCATGAATGTAGTGTGTACTCCGGCGACTGCACCCACGTTACCGTTACTCTCCCACGAAAGCTAACTGCTCGATTCGGTACGTCTTTCTTTAATCAATTATGTATGCCATACTACATGCTCTATATTTTCTGCTACAATATGTTCTATTGTAGTATATGATATCATAGTATATACTATAGGTACTACATATTAGTTGTTTTATGTGTATTCTTACTGGCACGAGCGAGAACCCATCGTCGAGGACCCTTCACCGGCGAGACCTGTTCACGCAGACTCCATGCTGAGCGCTAAAGTTCCCTGTCACAGTCTCTCTCTGATTAGAGCGCCACTAAGGGATATGAGTTCTCATAAGGTGGCAAGCGCACAAAAAACCTGGAGACTAAATGCATGCGGCGTGCTTTTTGAGTGGGTTTTGGGCAATTTGTCTTCTGAGTGACGTGGCTAAGCTGACAACCGGCGAATTAGGGAAGCACGAGATAGCATCTAAACATCCCAGACAATTACCGGTTCGTGCACATACGAGAATACTTGGGCTAAGAGTTTGGAAGGCATGGCAGCAGCACGAATTACAAAATTGCAGCGACAGTCTGATGAAGTCTCGCAGAAGCGGCATGTGGTACGTCTGCACTAACGCAAAGAAGTATGTAAAGAGTTCAGGATTGATCTCGCATGCATGCCTTGCAGGAATAGAAGAGGGAACACAGACTTGTGCCATCTGCCACCGCCAGTCGATGCTCTGAGTGCCACGGCTGTATGCTGCGGGCATGCGTTTTTGAACGATTTAGGTCCGGGTGATCGCGTCACGGATGGCTCATGGATCTTGGGAACGGATGACGTCTGGGCGGGCGTAATCGCGGTGTGCCCACGGATGCTCTGGGGAACGGATGAAGTCTGGGCAAACGTAAAGCACGGTTTGCGCATGGATGGCTTGGGGAACGGATTAGGAGCGGGTGGGCATTGTCATGGTTGGCGCATGGATGCTCTGCGGAACGGTTGACGTCTGGGTGAACGTTATGCTTGGTGGGTTGGCCCACGGATGCTCTCAAAAACGGACGGTGTCTGGGTGGGCACTAGAGGAACGGACGAGGTTTGCCTGGATGCTAATTATCAGGGCTGGCCCAGGGAAGCTCTGGGACACGGATGACGTTTGCGTGGACGTTTTCATGCTTGATTCACGGATGCTCTGGGGAACGGATGAAATCAGGCTGGATGCGCACTCAATTGTCAGGCTCAGCCCGCGGATGCTCGGGGCAACGGAAGAGGTCCAGGTGGACATTATCACGGTAACTCTCATGCTTGGAAGCTCTTGGGAACGGATGAGGTCTGCTCATGCTTGGCCCATTGTTGCCCTGCAGAAGGGATGGGATCTGGGTGGGCGTTGTCATGGTTTGCCCATGCATGTACCTAAGCACGTAAGAAACTATCAGGTTTCTTTATGTGCCTGCTTCCTCCTAGAAGCTTACGAGAAGGGTTGAGAGTTTAGGTCTTTGAGCCCGGTGATGCTTCATGCGATCCAGTGGAAAAGTCTTCGAATTCGCGTATATTTCTCCGGAGACAGAACAAAGTCCGGAAAATAGCGACGTTGATGTTTGCGGACCCCTTAACCCTAAACCTTCAAACCCAGCAAGCCCGAACCCCATGGTAGTTCCTTTTGGGGTTTATATTTAGAATGCTAAGGTAATCCCCAAAATGGGTAAATTGTACGACTGATGGTCTCCATTTTAGATCCCTGTTCGGTTACCTGTACCTATAGTCTGCATTGTAGTTCCTATTTTTGGTTTAACCAAATATATAAACTAGTAACTAGGATCCTATAAGGTAACCAGCCCGAAACAGGAACTACAATGGAGACTACAGGCTACAGGTAGGGTCTTAAATAGGTTAAACCGAAACGGGAACCACGACGGAGACGAAGGTATAACGTAGGAACCTGATCAAGAAGCCTAGGGTCTTTATTAGGGTTCCTTTTATGAACCCTAATATGCTGGGGTTATAGGCCCATGGTTTCTTAATCAGGTTGCTATCTTAGGGTCTGAAATAGGTTAAACCAACACAGGAACCACAACGGAGACTAAGGTATAATATACTCGCATCAGGGAACGCTGAGGAATAGTCTGACTAATCATGCAAGCGCCACCGCAGGGGACACCGCTGTATGATGGTAAATAGTGCAGCCCTCAGTACAATGACGCCGCATATATGGTGCCATTGAAAGAAGCCCCCAATGCAATTGAAAACACGATTTCAATAAACCTTTAGAGCGCCTTGTGCCAACTGCAAAATCCAGAAATCCTCTACCTAAACCGTAAGCCTCAACCCATGTGAGCTTCTTACAGTGCTGAACTTCAGGAACCTGAGCCGCAGTCACATGGCAAAGGCTTTGTTCAATATTCTAGATGTTCGAATTTTAGGGTGCAAGGAGCTTGGGGGTTCGGGGTGTATGTAGAGTGGTGCGGGCTTGAGGTGTAGCGATTTGGGGTTGAGAGGTTCAGCGTGAAGGAAAAGATACCGGGGCAGTTTAGCCTCCATAGAAGGCTTCCGTTGGGATGTTCACCGGTTTCATTGCTCTTCAGCAGCTTCGATTAACATGACGAGAATGGCAACTCGCGCGAATGACCATGTAGATGTAAAAGAACAATCTTCGGACTTTGGCTGATGCTAATTAATATGGTCTTGAAAGCGTGTCGGATTATGGACCTTCTTATACATCTGAAAAGTCTATAACGTAGGGGCCTAAATCATTAGAATAGGGTTTTGGAGGAGCTCATGCCATAGTTACAATAGGGAAGCACCAAAATAGCATAGGTCGGTAATTACTTCGGCCCCCAAATGAAGGTTTCCTTCTCCGGACTTCAACCTGCGGATCGCAGCGACGCGCTGCTTGCGAGTCTCTGTTGTGGGCTGTGGCTCATTGCTGTGAGCCTTGGAGTTGAGGGGCCTAGATTCTTCCTCGGCTGAGGCCCCGAGAACCTCAGCGAAGGTATACGACTCTGCCCTTAAGCTTTCTAGTTTAGGATCTCTATAAAGATAAGGTCTATAGTGTCAGAGGCTCTTGATTTTAGGACTTCTATATAAAGACAAGGGTTATGACTACCTGGGTGGGAATACACCCTTTTAAATGGAGCATGGAAAGATGAAATGCGTTGCTGTGTTGTTGCAGAGTCTTCAGATTGGAATCTGTCCCCGCAACTGTTCTGCCACCACTGATCTGTGCTGTGGTTCTGTGCATGCTGCTCGAGTGCCTGGCTGGCAGTCAGTGGTCCGGAGGTGATCGTCCGCTCTGTCGTAGCCCAACTGAAAGACTCAAGACCTTGCAGATTTGATGCGGTTCTGCTGCCGGATAGTGGCAATCCGACAGGACGGGTGTCACACTCGCACGGACCGCGTGGTATGTAGCAAAACCTCCAAAAAGTTCTGTAAAAACTACGGGTGGTGTGCCCACCACCACTGCCTCGGTAATAGTACCGAAGCTGCACCGAACTGGTGGAAGGAGGAGCAGAGGGACAAGACAAAAGTCGTCAGGCCAAAGATTTCGGAACAAGCTCTCCGGGCCTATACCGGAGCCCAAGACAATTTAGTATTTAGTTCGCCAGGGAATTCTCTGAACTCTCAAGGCATCAGATCAGCAGCCGAAAGCGGGAGTGGATTGACGGTCAGCTCATCCCATATTCTGACAAGCTTCGGCGACTAGAGGTACCTACCTCCCGCTGAGGCTGCTAATTGTTCTGTGTGGCTTACGTCCATCTTGCAGCCGGCATCCAAGTTGAAATGGGGGAGCACCCTGAACCAACAAATCCTGATTCCCAAACCGCTAGGGTTATCTGAAACCAGATACCGTAACCGTAACCCTCACCCTCCCCCGCGGGTAGCCGTGGACACAGGCACCTAGGGCCGACTCAGGGCAGCCCAGAAGCCTTCTTCTGGTTTAGGGTTTAGGTTCGGGTTTCGTGTCGAGGGTTGACGTCTTCGATGATTTAGGCCCGGGTTTTTGGGTTTAGGGCTTGGGCATGAGTGCAAGAGCCCATAAGCACTGGACGTCAGGGTTACATAAGGGGCTTTGAGTTGCCGGCTTGAAGGGTCCTCGCGGTTGACGCTGATGGTTTGGTTTGGGGTTTCGACTTTGTCCAGCTCCAGTATCGTCAATAAGGAAAAGGTTACCTCCTCTATTGTAACACTGTACTAGGCTCTTTAAGTCGAGCTTCATGAACTTCTTGCAAGCCTTTGGAGCCTGGGATGTGGGGCTCCATGCTATAAGTTCTGCCAGAGGAAAGACATGGAAGACAAAATATGCAGGCAGTGGACTACTGAACCTTGAAAGCTCCTTAGGCTGCATGCGAAAGGTTCAGGGCTAAGAGCTAAGGGCTTATGGCAACCCGAAGCCTTTAAACCTTGGCCACACGCAGCTTGAGCCGCGCGGTGAGAAAACCCAATCACAAGATGTGCGAGCTTGACTGTAGCTTCGGCGTCAAAGTACTAACGACTCTAAATGCAGTGACATCCGCGAACCCCCTAAACCCTAAACCCTGAGGATCTGTGCAACGACGTTAGAATTCCTCTGCGGACCTCGATGGCAGGTGCGCTGCGCCACATTGCATCGAAAGCCCGCGGCCTGAATTCATGGAGGATGAACAAGATGCCTAGCTTCTCCTTGCTCGGATCGAACTGCGGATGACGGTATCATGCGCAACCTCTGCCAGAGGATGACAAGACGATGTGCCTAACCTTAACATTCAAAAACCTCAAATGTTATTTCGGCCAGTTCCACGATGCCATGAACGTGAAGATGCAGATAGTTGGCATTGTGCTGGCGAGGACGACTATGTACGGGGGGTGTTACGTTTGGGTTAACGCCTTACTTTGGTAGAGATTTTATTAAACAATCTAGGGTGCTCAAGCCGCCAGGTGCACCGACACAGCCAGCTGGGGCCGCGACTGCCGAACTAGAGAAAGAAGTGGACGGAGCCGTCGGGCTGTTCCTACAAGAGGGCAGCATGCACGAGGACTCACAGGGTGTTGCTAAGGCAGCTGTACACACACAGATGCGTGTACATACATACATATGCTCATCTATGCACATGCGTACGTGAGTGTATACATACATATATATATATATATATATATATATATATATATATATATGATGCTTATGTGTACACATGTATATTTTTATACATACGTACATGCCAATGTATATATGTAAACGTGTTTAAATGTATAAATGTATATGGGTATCTCTGTGTAGACGTGTATGTGTGTATCCATACATATGCATGATTCATGCTTATATGTTTGTTCTGTTTATGCGCTTATACATCCCCGGGCCGAAAGTTTTGAGCTACCGGGCCTTTCATCATTATGCAGACTCTTGCGGAGTAGCGGAATGCTTCAAAGTAACGAATTCCCTACGCAGGCCAGCGGAGTAATTACTGCGCCGTTTTAAAAAATTATACTTATTCATTGCGGAGGAGGCTCCAAAGCTCGCTTGTGTCAGGAGTACTTATTCATTGCGGAGGAGGCCCCAAAGCTCGCTTGTGTGGCCCCAAAGCTCGGTTGTGTCAGGAGTACTTAATTCTTCATCGCGGAGGAGGCCCCAAAGCTCGCTTGTGTCAGGAGTCTAGGGGGAAGAGGGTGGGGGTGTGGGTCAACTTCGTTGTTTAAGCTAGTGGGGCGAACTATCGGCCCGGCGCAGTACGTCTCTATGCCTCTGTCTGTACGTATACATGTACAGGTACTTATACATATATACACACATGTACATATATACATACATACATATATATATACACATACATACATATATATATATATATATATATTATATTTATACATACACATATGACTGTGCCGCATTGTGTTCCCGGCCCCTTCTCCCGCCCTGCTTTCCCCGCCCCGGCGTCAAACCGGCTTCAACCTTCCACCTTGAAGCACCTATAATGTAGGGACCTTAATAATTAGAATAGGATTTTGGGGTATATTATACGAAATTTTTAAGGACCCACCAAAATTAGTATAGGTAATTAGTAAGTCCCTATAGTGACCATTCCGGGAGGGCAGCAGCAGGGCGGGGGAGGTGGATGACCACACGCGGAATCATTCCAGGGAAAGCCCGAACCACAACCATTCCACAGGGAGCGTGGGGGATCTCAACTCCGAAGCTGAAGCCTGAAAGTCTACACCATCGGGGTGGGGACGAGGGGGCGGGAGGGCGGCGGGTTGGGGGGAGGGTCACCGGAGTGCAAGCATATATGTATGTCTGTAGGCATGTATATGTCTGTGTCAATACAAATATATTATGTGTATATATATATATATATGCTACCCCCTCGAAAACCTACCTCGAAGCCTCCTCCTGTACATTCTAGACTACGTTACGACTCGAATCCGTAAAAACGACTTAATTGAATCTTTTGAGTGTTCTCTATTTTGAGATGTTTCGAAACAGGACGAAAATCGAATCCGTTTTGCGTTTGATTGA